TATGTTTGCATTTATAATTCTTATTCTTTGCAGGTGTTCCAGAATTCAGAAAAATGTCAGTCAATGCATATGGTATGAGCATAATTCAGTGCTATGCTTCTACAATATAATACACACACACATTCATATACCTGGACACAGTGAGAGATAGAGATGAATACTCGTGACAATCAATGATTTATGGTTTTTATTGACCCTCAAATTTCTGCTTTTAAATGAACTTCTTTAAATTTTCTGCTTCTAGAAACCCTTGACGAAACACAATTTGTTAAGCTTGATGAGAATCATAGAAAACAGAAAAGAGGAAAATAAAGGGAATCAGGGGGGACAGAGAGGGGTGGGCGGGCAGGGAAATGGAAGGTAATGGGGAAGGAAATTGACCAAATTATGTTATGCACATGTATAAACATGGCACAATGAACCTCTCTCTTATTTATTATGATAATGTACCAATAACATTTATCAAATCAAGACGGAAAAAAAGCAGAAGACAGGGTAGAATAGTATAATTTTAATTATGTAGAACCTTTCAACAATTTTCTTATGCTTATGGAATTCCTCCCCCTTTGGACTCTTGTCCCAAAAGTAGAAATTAGAGCCTCACCTCTCCAGTTTCTCTTACACCCAGGTGTAAAGCCTCTGCTAATTAGATGCAGTCATTAAACCATGTGGGCTCCACTCTGGTCAATAACACTCCAAGGTCACAGTATTGGCCTCCTGGGAAGGTGTGTTGGGACTGTCCTAGTAGTGCTGTTGTCCATCAGCAATGGCTGAAGATCTCTCAGGAGAAGTCAAGCATAGTTTTAAAAACTGAATTTCTAGCCTTACCAGTTTCTGTGAAATATGTATTTTTAATAAATTTCTTTCTGCTTAAAGTAGCTAAAATTTGCAAAAGCTAACTGAAAAATACTACATAAAAGGATGTGCAAAGAAAAAGAACTCTTTCAAAAGGAGAAGGGAGAAAGGCAAAGAATGCCCCTAATCAAATTACTAGGAACAATTTAATGCTTATATTAGGTTTAGATTAAACAAAGGTTTATTAAGCTCCTTGAATATAGCATACATCTTGTGAGGAGAGCTTTCTCATTTATTGCATTATTTGATGTTCTCTATAATTTTCTGAGAAAGCTATGTGTGTTTTATTAAAAGAGATTTAAGACTCGGAGAAGCAAAGTGTTGAAAGAATTGGAATCAAACACAGATTGACACTCTTTCAGTACGGTCTCTGTGCTGTTCAAAATGCCATCACTACAGAGCCCCAGCAGTCTATTACATACTTAAAATCATGATCCGTCCACCCTGATTTCTGAGGTTTTCTTTTTTTCCATTTTTTTTTTACTTCACTAAAGTGGATTCTTTGTAATATATTCATATAGGCACTTAAAATCATGATGAGTCCATCCTGATTTCTCAGATTTTCTTTTTTTCCATTTTTTTTTTTACTTCACTAAAGTGGGATTCTTTGTAATATATTCATATAGGCACACAGTATAATTTGGTCAATTTCCTTCCCCAATACTTTCCATTTCCCTCCATCCTTTCCCATCCCCTGTTGCCCTGCCTTTACCCTCTTTCTGTTTTCCATGATCCTGACCAAACTTATCAAATTGTGTTTCCTCAAGAGTTTGTAGAAACAGAGAACCTTTAGGATCAATAAAAACTACAAACCATTGTCATGCTGTGTTTATCTCTGTCTCTCAGTATCTCTGGTATATGAATGTATGTGTGTGTGTGTATGTGTGTGTGTGTGTGTGTGTTATACTCTAGAAGCACAGCACTGAATTATGCTTACACTATTTGCATTGATTGATTGGTTTTTCCCGATTTCTAAAACACCTGCAAAAAATGAGAGGTATCAACACAAATATAAGTAAGACTTGTGACCTTTATTCTTGGAACTCACATCCTTATGAGGAAATGTCATGTAAACTTGTAATTATAGGTAATAAGAGAAGAGCACTAACAGAAAGTTATTATACACATAGGTAAAATCTGGAGATAAAAGTTCTAATACCTATAATAGGAAACCCAAGATTAAAGGTATTGTCCAATAATACCTATATCATAAACATTTTGGTAAATCAGCTTTGTTAACAGCTGAATGGAGATATGTCAATAGACTGCTCTGTGTTGCTGATAAGTGCAGGCTTTACCACATGGTTTTGATTTTTATTCATATTAAAGTTTTTTAGATCTCTCATTGCCTTCAAAATCATCATTCAGCTTTTATTGTTATTCAAACACTATAAAATGAAATTTTATATTATAAAATGTCCTTGAAAACAGCAACTTCTTACTATGATACTAATGTTTTAGTTTCTAGTCTTAAAACATTATCGTTTTTAATTTACATTTCTTATGTATACTCATTTAATAAACAACTTTAAATTCAGTAATCACATTTTCCCCTAAGCTTTGATTAGAACAATTATGGTAAATGAAAATAAGAAAGTAATTTCTGTAAAGAGATTCGAAAAGCATCCTTTTCAAGCCATAAAGCAGCGTTCCAAATAGTTTGTTCAGTATTAGGCCTACAAAAATATACATTGTGTTCTGTGTAAGAAACACAGATCTAAAACTTTTTCTTGTCTGCTTATTGTTTTTGTTTTGGTCTCCCCTAGGATTGTAGCCAAGGATTAGCATACAAAAGGTGCTAAATAAATGCTATTGAATGAATGTTCCTTAGACCTTAATGACAGGCAGCTTGTGAACAGATAAGAGAAATAGAAAACCAGTTAACTGAACTTTTACGTCTACCTAACCCACTTTTTCTTTGACCCTAACCTCTCTTATGCCAATCCTTACTTTTGGCTTGCTTTAGAGAACAAGAACATACATCAACACACACCTACCTGAAATCAATGAAGACAGCCACACCCACTTTTGCTATAAACTGATTTGTAATATATAACTGAACATTTTCTACTCACTACCAAACACTCAATAGAGATGTAGTATTCCCAATTATGTGATTTCTTTACACTGACATCCTGAGTAATTGTGTTTTCAGAGTTATACTAATAATGTATAAGGAAAGGGAAATAAAGGCTACAAATTCTGTAATTAACAGAGTTTTTTATAGCATCTTTTATTCATGGAGGCAAAAACAAGCCAAAGCACTAGACAGGTTTCTTGAAGGCCTATAAACTATGAAGCAGTCTAGATAGCTCTATTATGGTGAGAGATAATAAAATATTTTTGCACGAGTGGATCCCTCTGATTAACTCAAATTCTCCTCTCCAGGAGTAGAAAAATTGTAGAAACAATCTTTCATGGTTCTTATATCTTTATTCTTTCATCTCCAAATCCCTCAAATATGCTATGCATACACATGTACGCACTCATTCACACAAGCAAGAAAAAGGCATTTACTTTCAAGGAACAAAAAACCAACAATTAAAAAGATAAATAAATCAATAAATCCACAATTCTAATCAAAAGAAGAAGAGGAAGAGAAAGAAGGAGGAGGAGGAGGAGAAGAATAAGATAAAGAAGAAGAAAGGAAGAAGAAGGAAGAAAGAAGAAGGGAAAAGAAGAAGAGGAAGAAGGGAGAAGAAACAAAAGAGGAAGAGGAAGAAAAAGAAGAAGAGGAGGAGGAGAAGGAGGAAGGAGAAAGGGAAGGGAAAGGGGAAGGTAAGGAGGAGGAATCACTGCATCTTAAAGGAGATAGAAGTTTGTTCCTCGTTCAGGTAAAAATCAGGTAAGTCAAACTCAGCTCCAGCAAGCAGTGCTTCCACCTCATTACTCCACTTTCTGGAGGGACTCACTCAGTCACGCCATCTGCAGGCAAATCAACGAAAAAGGTAAAGACAAAGAAGGAAAGGCAAGGTGCACCACATCTGTCCTTCAAGGACATTTCCTGGAGCTTCCAAACAACACTTCCACCTACATCTCTGGCTTAAACCTGATAATATGACCACATTCAGCCTCAATAAAAGCTCAAAAATATCATTTTATTTTCATAATGTCTTCCCAACTGACATACTGAAGTTTTATTGAGAACAGAAGGAAAATGAAAATTGACTGACAACGAGGAAGCTGCCATGAGGTACCTCCTTAAACCTCCCAAGAAGAATTGTGTGCAATTTCATGCTCAGAGATTTCAGGACTGATGCCTTTTCTTCTGCACACGACCTACATTACCTTTCTCACTACTTCATCCATCCATGAACTTTATTCTTGTATTTCCAAATATTCTTGTGCCTCAAAGGAAAAGAGAGGTGAGCAATTAGTGAAGGACAGACCCAACTTTCACTATTTAAGCTACTAAGAATTTTAATAGGAGGAACTGAGCCAAATTCTAGTGCTCTGCTTGTGTGTTTCCCATCTAAATTGAGACCACAGTCAGCTTTAATTGAACATAAAAATCTCCTGTTTAATCCAAAGCAGTGAAGAGTGTTTTCATTTGGTAGTAAATAAATTTTGGACTTTTTCCCAAAAGATGCTAAACTTTAGTGATAGTTGCAAAACCATCACACTCAAACAAAGGCCTGGAACATTTAATATTCTCTGGAGAAATATCAGTCACTATGGAAAACAGAATTGGTAATTTAAATATAAACTTAAGCTGCAAACATAGCCCTGTTTAGCTAGGCAGTTGTTCTCATACTCCATAGAGCACAAGAAGTTTCAGAGAATTATAGAGTTTCCAAAAATGAAGCAGGGCTAGAGATGTGGCTCAGCAGCTAAGCATGTCCAGCATGTATGAGGCCCTGGGTTCAATCTGAGCACTAAAGAAAAAAAAAAGAAGAAGAAACAAAGCAGGCAGATCATAAACACACACACACACACACACGATCTTTTATGGATTGGGCTTCTTTATGAGACATTATTTAAAGAAAGGCTTTGGTCATTTTTAAAATCTGATCTCATGATTCCCAGCCCTAATTCTATTTCTTCTGGATTTGATTCCTGGGATTATCATAACCTTAAGATCTCTAAACCTTTCAAGACCTAGTGGATCAAGTTGAAAAGAAAAGAGACATGTAAAAACTTCTCCTGACTTGTCATCATGACATATTTTGCCATATTTATTTAATGTATTTAGAAAACATAATCATGCTTGCAACTATATCCTTAATATGTCTTGATTAGTAAGATTATATTAACATATTTTTCTCCCTGGCAGGCACAACCCAAGTGTAGGATTGAAATTATTCCCTTATTTTTTTTGTCATTTAAATTGTTTCCTATTGTTTACGTCTTTTTTTTTTCAACGTGTAAATGTATTTATTGTCCCCAAACTGAATATGCCTTTTTAGGTCAGCATAACACAGAGGAAATGATGACTAACTGACAAGAGCTGGTTCAATTTGCATCTTGGAGTTTCACTGCAACTTTATTGCTTCTGTTATCAGAATCCTCTCAGCAGTATCATCTATCAAATATTCCATGGGGACAAAAAAGAGTGAATGCATTTGTAGTCTTGTTAATTACAAAAGCTCAATCTTTTCTTCTAGATAGATCAACTACTTAAGTCATGATATCATCTCTAAAGCTCAATAGTTCTATTCTAAATAAAATACTCTAAGAATTTATTTCTCTCAGCATCTGTTTCTTCATTTTCCAACTCATATTTCTTCATGGCAACAAAATAGCGAATAAAAGTTTCCCCTAGAGCTTCTCTCAGACATTGATCTTCCTCCAGTGCCACAAGGGCATCTTCCAGTTTCAAAGGGATCTCTGAAGGTTTTAACTGAGAAAGGTCTGTGCCCTCATCTGGACCAACCAAAGCGCCATCACTGTTCTGCAGTCCATCCAAGCCTGCAGCTATCGTCGCAGCCAGCACCAGGTAAGGGTTTGCTGTTGCTGAGCCTAGTTTATTTTCTATCCGGGTGCCTTTCTCACCATGGCACTTGATATTAAAGGCACAGCTGTTATCGTTGTAGCCCCATGTCACAGGCACACTCTCCTTCAGGTCTTTACTCTCCTTGGAATAACGCTTTCGGCAGCTAACAGCAGGCGCCATCAGGCAGCTGAGAGCAGCAGAATGCTTCAGAAGACCTGCCAACCATTTTTTCCCAGTGACCGTGAGCTGTTCAGTTCCAGAATTGTTGCAGAACATGTTTTTCTTCCCATCCATGTCCCAGACACTATGAGACAAGATTCCCGAATTGCAGAATCCAGTCTCAATGAAAAAGCTGGCGATGTAATTATACTTCCTTGCCACTTCTTTGACACCTGTTCTGAGGGTAAATGCATTATCAGCTGAACTAATGCCAAATTCTGGCAGAAAACAGATTTCCATGTGACCAGGTCTAGTAGAAGAGGAAAAGCTCTCAACATTGGCCCCAGTATGGTATAAGCCATCCACGAGTTCCTGCATGAAGGGCTGGTCATGATTATTTAGAAATGTTGAAGCAGGGAAAGATATGGTCTTTGAATTGATAACTTCGGGCACACCAAAAATGCAAAAATCATAGATGAAGGCAGAGAGCAGGGAAAAACCAGAGTCCTGCAGCTGCTGCAGCTGCCTCTTTGCGATATACCTTGGAGAGGTCAGCAAAGGTTCCCCAGTCACAGTGAAGGTGTCACATATCACTCGCGCAGTTCTTTCTGCCCATGGCAAAACTCGAAAGGTTGATAACTCCGGCATCAGGACTATGTCACTATTAAAACAGGTGGCTCTTATGTGATTCACTTCATTGTCCTTCAGATTCGGCATCAATTCAAGATAACCTCGGGGCATGAAAACACCATGGGTCACTTTTTCCTAAAAAAGGAAGAGGATAAATTAACTCGGTTTTGAAACTTGAACACAAACAAAAAGTCTGAGAAAGAGCTATGCTAATGATAAATATACACATATATTTACCATATTTATATATAGTATACACACACATATGTTTAACATCTGCTTACACTAACTCAGTATCATCAGATATATTTTAAATATTTCAGAATACATCCCCCAAAGGCACTTTTATAAGTAATTCTTAATATTTTAAGACTTGAAGGTTTTATATGCTTGCTCATGGATGGGAAAAAAGTGGTTATAAATGCTATAAACATTTATAAATAAATGGTGTTATGATAAAAAAAATCGCTTTATAGGAAAAGACAAAGATAAAAGCCTATGGAAATATTTTAAATTATCATAATCAAAAGTACTCTGTAAAGAACTTTTTATTTTATAGTATAGTTGCTAAAACCTCAGAAAAGGCTTTATTTTAATTTATTTATTCTATATATTAATTTTTATATAATTTAATTTAGATAAAATTTAATATAATTATACAATATATAATATATTATAATTTAATTTATATATAATTAATTAATGTTTTAATTGGATATACTTAGGGTATACAGTGTGATAACTCCACATATGTGTAAATGTGTCCTAATAAAACTAGGGTAATTAATGTTTCTATCTCCTTAGCATTACTTTATGTTTGGAGCCTTCAAGCATGTCTCTTCTAATTATTCACAAAACATAAAAGGTTATTATGAACTATAATCACCTTACTATGCTGTACAACTATAGAACTTTTGATTCCTGTCTGTTTTGTTATCCATTATCCAACCTCTATCCGTACTCCCTCCACTTTTCCCAGTCTGTAGTAAACATTATTCTAGAGAGTGCAGATATAGAACAACATTTTTTCAGTATCCACATATAGAGAGAACATGTGGTATCTGTCTTTTTTGTTTGTTTGTTTGACTTACTTCACTTAATATAATGTCCTCCAGTTCCATCCATTTTGCAGCAAATGACAGGATAGAATTCATTTTATGGCTGAATAGTACTCCATTGGTATCTATATTACTTTTATTTATACATTCATCAATTTTGTGGAATCTAGGTTAATTCCATATCTTAGCTATTATGAATTATGCAACAATAAATAGGTCAACCACATAATCCAGCTATCTTACTTCAGCATATATATCCAAAGAAAATATTCTCACATCGAAGAGATACCTGCATTGCCATGTTTATTGCTTATTCTATTATAATCCCCTGAGTTAACTATTCTCAAAATTCTACAGTAAAGATCCTCAACCTTTGTCATAGAACTGAACACAGTCAGACCTACAGCACACAGGACAGTTGTCTAATATAGAGGAGCCAAGTCATCTGACAGTTTCACTCTTCTCTTTATTCATTTTTACAACCCACTTAAGAATTAACTACCTCACTGTCTCAGAGAATCCCAGAAACCCTATCAGTTACTATGAACCTATATCTCCAAAGTTATAGTTGCCAAAATGTTGTAGCCTTCTAATCAGTATAAATTGGGTGTCAGCAGATCTGGCCTCTGGCCATAGCTTTTTTATTAATTACTGATATGAAACTAGGTAACTTAGTGGACTATGTGCTTCAGCTTCCCTGTCTATAAAACATAAGTGTTCAACTGGATGATTGCTAAGGCACTTCTAGCCATATATCTCTGAGATTCAGTGGTTTTCACCATTTAACTTTTGCTCTGTGCCAGTCAACATGGAAGTGATGAGGTTATAAAGTTGAACAGACATACAAAACAATTTCTGGAAATTGTGTAGAAATTCCAACAATTCTTCATGTGCTGACAATTACATCAAGGGGTAGAGAATAGTTCCTGGCTATAAAATATGATTTTCATGAAGTAATGAGCATCACGAGGTTATTAAAACATGCTAATATTCTGCAAGGGAGACCATTTCCTTATGTTATTCCCAAATCTCAAAAAGCATGGCTACCAAGGAGGGCTGGTGCTAGCAGCGGTAATCTACTGGTCCACTTTTATCCCAGTACCAAGCACATGGCAAATTCTCCAAAAAATATGGCACCATTTTATCCTAGGTTCCCCTTTTGGCCTTTTAAAAACTATTTAACAGTGTTTTTTTTTTTCTTTATTCTTAAGAGATGATTTGTTTTTCTAAAAAAAAAATCAATATTTTTATTTAATAAAAAAGTACTGAGTTCAAATGAAGAATAAAAGGATATTTTAAAGCTGAGCTAGAGGCAGTAGGTGCATGGGGAAAAAAGAACTGAGCTGGAAGTGCAGACTCACATACTGTGACCCTGAGCCACTGCCTCCTTCATCCTCCACTGTCTCTGCACATACTTTCAAATGCCAACTGACTTGGCTGATCCAAATGTGCTTTTACCAGCAATGAAGTTGAGTGAACTAACATCTTTGGTGCCTATTTAACTTTGCAAATTACTCAAGAACATATACACATTAATATTGTGTGCACATGCGCACACCCCCGCCCACACACACACATATGCACACAAACATTATGGAATCTTCGAACGCTCCCATATGGACTCCTCAATTTAAATTTGCACTGCAAGAAATAATGTTATTTCCCTGCTTGTCTACTTTTTAGTTTGAACATCTTATATTAGTTCTGTGTATCTAAAATGAGGGATAATGAATTTTATTCATGAAACTTCTAAGACTTGTTGCAATTTAAATTTGTGTTTGTACTCACTTCACTGTGAACAGTGGAGAAAAGTTGATTACCACTTCATTCCAACAGTCCTTCACAAACATGTGGAACAGTAAAAAGTCACATATTCTTCAGGCTATTTAATCTGTATTTTTCTGAACACTCTTCTAGCTCTCTCATTTTTTTATTCTTTTTTGAATATGCTGAATTTAAATTCTTTCCCATCTTTTCTGGGAAATATGTAAATACACATGAATGTATCTTATTCATGATAATAAATTATCTTAAGTTTTGTTTAGAGATATAAAAAAGATTTTTTATAAAGCATGGGGACAACTTCACAGTTCAATATAGATCACTCTGAACTCAAAAAAAAAATTCTTGTAGAATAATTCAAAACCCTGTGGCAATCAAAATTTGGACCACAATGAAGGTCACCCATTGAAATAAACCAAGAATTAGTTCTAGGGCAGTATGTTCTATTTTGATTAGATCAAAGATAAAACCACCATAATTTTAATTAAAAAAAAAAAACAAAGATAGTATGACCTGGTTGTAAGGTTAAAATGTGCTTATGCTTGTAAAACAGTTATTCCAGTACCAAGCACATGGCAAATTCTCCAAAAAATATAGACACCATTTTATCCTCGGTTCCCCTTTTGGCCTTTTAAAAACTATTTAACAGTTTTGGGTTTTTTCCTTCATTCTTACGAGATGATTTGTTTTTCTCAAAAAAAAAATCAATATTTTTATTTAATAAAAAAAATACTGAGCTCAAATGAAGAATAAAAGGACATTTTAAAGCTGAGCTGGAGGCAGTAGATGCAGTGGGGAAAAAAAATGAGCTGGAAGTGCAGACTCACATACTAACATTCTCACTCTTTTGCTGCCTGTCTGCCTAATTTTTAGAAAGATTTTCTTAACTTTTCTGGGCCTCATTTTCTTCGTCTATAAATAAAAAAAAATGGATTATATTATCTTTCTACACTTTCCTAGTCTAATAATTTTCAAATTGATATTTTTTGTCCACAAATAGGAAAGATGTTTTAAAATTACTTTTCTAAAGGGCTAAATTATTTTTTACTAAGCCCTGAGCAGACTCAAATTATTGACACCACACTTGATCTAATCAGTTTCCCATGCATAATTGTGTGGCAAATATTGTTTAGATCAGCTTGCATAAATGAATCTGTTTCTAATGTCTATTCCTTAATAAATTTTCCAAAACAAATTATTTATCTTAAATTACAAATATTCATGATATAAATATTCATTATGATTTATATCTTTGAAAGTTCCAAAATGAATGTCAGATGTTTTCTAAAAAATGTGTGTATACTCTGATTGTTAAGTGAGAATAAAATAATAAAAACTAGATAATGAAATAAGAAAGTGAATTATTAGGAAATGAAGAATAAATCTATTAATTGAGAAGCTGTATTATGAGTTATACAAAAATTCCCATGACAAACAGATTTTTTCCTAGCTGAACTCCATTAAAAAAGTGACTGTGATATGTGGACATAGAACAAAAAATTGGAAATATTTTCCATAGTAGTTTGAAAAACAAGAGGTCAATTTATTTTTATGTCCAGCACATCAGTCTTCAGCAAATGTAAGCAGCACGTTGAGTTATATTGTGTAAATGTGTTCCATTGAAAAACTGAAGTAATATTCTAAATATGTAGCTTGCCACTAATGGAATAAATTATTAGAATTTGACCCCCCCAAAAAAAGCTGAATAGCAAACAGTTTTATACTGAGGTCTGGCAAGTGGCTGAAGTGCCAGTTTCAGTCTCTTATTGATTGAAAGAGATTCATATGCATCATCTTCTGGACCTGCCTATGGCAAATTTCACATTTTGTTATCAAAATTAACTAGCAGGTGTCCTTAACTGAATAAAAAAGAAAAAATATTTGCAGTCAAATAAGTACAAAGAATTTCTTGAGAAACAAATGTTTTGTTTGTTTGTTTGCAATATATGGATAGAACACAGGGGTTCTCTACCACTCAGTTACCTCCCCAACCCTTTTTATTTTTTGAGACAGGGTCTTGCTAACTTGCTGAAGCTGGCTTCAAACTTGTAATCCTCCTGCCTCAGCCTTCATAGTTGGTGGTATTGTAGGCTTGCTCTGATGGGTTCTTAAGAAACAACTTTGAGCCTGTTGAAATCTTTCAAACTGGATTTTTAAGATATACCAATTTTCTTAACATAAGCAAAATATGAAAAATCATAATTTAATATTAAAATAATAAAAATATGACATACTTAAAATACTTAAACTTGGAGGATACTTAACTCTATACTTTCTTAAATACTATTGAATGATACCGCTTCCTAAGAAACATAATGAAATATTACAACAAATCAATCATTAAAATAGACATATGAGCTAGGCACAGTAGCACCTCTCTGTGATCAGCAACAGGAAGATAGTAAATTTGAAGCCTGTCTGAACATCTTAGTTAGACTCTGTCTCAAAAAAAAAAATTAAATGGCTGAGAATGTGGCTCAGCAGTAGAGTACCCCTGGGATCACTCCCCAGTACAGAAAAAAAACAATTTTTTAAAAAAAATCTAGGGATGAAGTTCAGTGTGAAAGCATCCCTGGGTTCAATCCCCAGAACAGAAAAATAAATAAACCAACAAGCATATGGTATAAACTAACCATTAAAAAAACTTAGAAAGTTTCAAAATATATCCCCAAATGCAATGTTTCTTGATATCACTATTTTCAAGAACTTAATATACATTAAGTCATCCAATAACAATGGGGTATTTTCTTATCAGAGTTAGAGCTAAAAGGGATATTCTTTTTATCTAGCAAATTCTTTCTATTTAATCATTTTTCCCTTTCATATTTGCTCTTGGGTCTTCTGTTGCAATTTTCTCATGTCAAATAAAATATAATCTTTATAATTGCAGTAAGGAGAGAAAAGATAATTCTGTGGAGGGAAATTATTCCAGGCAGAAGGACTAAAATTACCAGTCTTAATTAGTTTTGTGCTTCTATTGGATAAAAGGAATTGTTGTTCGAAAGCTGAGAGTATATGTTCAGCTCCTTGGGGGACAATAACGTGTTTGGATAGAGACAAGGAAAAGCAAAATAAATTATTGGTTTTCAGCTTGAATTGCTGTGTGGGTTACAAGAAAATAAGGACAAGTAATAAGGACCATTTGCTTGTTAATGGTCATGAAATTACATTCAATCCTAATTTTGTGTAAAACTCACTTGGAAAAAGTGTGCAGGGATACTCTTAGATCTGGACACACCATGCAGATCTGTTGCTTCAAATCTCACAAACTGGAGGTGATTTTTGGCCATCTCTTGTTTAATGTGTTTGATTCTAGAAGAAAGCTGAGGTGTAGTCAAAATTTGAGTGTTGTCCCTGTTGCGATCTGTAAAAATAAAGAAGGCTCTAAGTCATTCCATCATGATAAACTGAGAAGCTAACTAGAGACAAGAGAACAAGGAACTAGTCATTATGAGGGTTAGCAAAATGTAACCATCATGTGAGTCCTGTCTTAACCTTTCTTACCCTGCCTTTTGCCATGCTCCCAAGAATCTTGGGTCTAAATAGCATTTTAAAAATGATTTACCAGTTAGGACTAGGTTAAGTGAACATAAAGTCTGCATAAGGATATAGCATTATCATATGTAGGTACTTACTGAAAATTTCTTTGCTTATGGAAATTAGAACATATTTGCATAACTGGATAGTATTGGCACCATAAAAGTCTGTATATCATTGAACAATGTGGGGTCTTCCAGAGTTACCTGATATTACCTAAATTAAAAGTTCCTGTATGATCTAAGATAAAATTATTGTTTGTTTAAATTTATTTCCTGTGGCTTTGTTTATTTGGTCAGTTTTTTGTTTTGTCTGTATTGGTTTTTTTCACCTGAATCCATATCTCTGTCAAATCTAAAATTTGTTTAAATAAGCAACAAAAGCTTTTTAAGAATGAGAGTATAGATGAAAAATCTAAATTGCATACTTAGTTTTAAAATTAAAAACATAATAAAATATTCTTTTCAAAGCTATTAAGATAGTCTGCAAATTCTAAAACTTCAGAGCTACAGAAGGCTGGAGATAAATCCTCTAACCTGACCAATTCATCATCTTGAGTCCCAGAGGGGCACAATGAGATCCCCAAGTCACATTTTCAGTTCATTGCCAAGATGAAAACTAGAATCTGGGCTTCTTGACTCCTCACGGGGGGCTCATTACCACAAAATGAATGAATATGTCTACAGCACATAATACACATTATAAATGTTAGTTACTGGCAGAACTTGTGGGAGGCATCACAGAGTATATTGGTTCAGCCCATCTGCCTCTTTTCAAATCCTGCCTTTGCTTGGCAACTTTCTTATCCTCTCTGTGCCTCTGCTTTCTCATAGATAAAATATTACCTACTTCATAAGCTTGTTATGAGGATTAAACAAGTTACTTAACAGTTACTGGCAGACCGTAAGCACCATGTAAGTGCTACTTAAACGCATAAAGTGAGCACAATTACTCCAACCCTAGTAAATGACACTGTGATCATGCCTGCATTTGAACACCCATCAATCTGTCACATGGCTGACATTGAACAGCAATAATTTTACAGTGATACCTGAGTATCCTTTTCAAGATATAATTAGGCTTTAAAAATAAGCATAAAATTGACAGTTTAAAAACAGATTAAGTAGATTTTAAATACATGAAGCATGAGGAAAACAAATTACTGGTTCCACCTATGCAAATATATCAGAGATAATGTCCTGTCACTGATATGTTTGGCTACTCTGAGACTCCTGAGGCTTTATAACTACCTTCCATTTAACACAAACAATTAAGTTGTAGCAATTACAATGTTTCATGCTAAATTAACAATTGCTGTGTTCCCAGCTTATTCTGAAATTTTGGGTGAATAGCCCAACTTGAATAATGCTTCTTAAATAAAATTTATAAGCATTTTTAGAATGCAGAAATTTCCAAATGCTCAGTGTTCTAAACATAATAAACAATTATATATAAGCTATAAAGAAGGCATCTTTAAAGGAAAAAGGTAATTTTACAGGTTCTCCAGTAATAGGATGATAGGTAATCTTTTTTTTTTTTGATAGGTAATCTTATTAGTTATTTGCCTTACCTATATCTTCTAAATTTTCTCCAACAACTAAGAATATTTTAAAATAAGAAAAATATTCAGCCACTAAGATGAATTTTTTTTAAATCACCACATAGTTTTCATACTGGATTTCATACCGGATATGTATATCTAGGAAGCATCCAGAAAAAGTCCTACCCTCATAAAATGTTAAATTACCTAACATTGGCAACAGTAGGCAATAAACATGCCAGCACGTGTAAGTGAGAAGATTTTGTAATCTGAAAGAGCTAAAAAAAAAAATCAACTGAGTTATTAATTCTGTGAGCCTTGATCAAAATGTAGACAGCAACTTCCAATTCACTTTAATGCTCCAAGTTGCCCTCAGGCTGGTCAGTGAGTATATGTATTAGTTTGCTAGAGCTGTGCAGCAAATATTTCTGATCATATGATGGAAGTTTGATTTTTCATAATTCTGGAGGGTAGAAGTTGAAGATCAAAGTTATCAGTGGAGCTATATCTTCTGAGGCCTTTCTCTTCGGCTTATGGATGATCATCATCTTCCAATATCTTCACATGACATTCCCTCTGTGCAAGTCTGTTTCCTTTTCTCCACTTATGAAGACACCAGCCAATACTGGAATAGAGCCCATCTGACTTACTTCCTTTAACCTTAGTTACCTATTTAAAGACACTGTCTCCAGATTCTGTCACATTCTTAGGTACTGAGGAACAGCTTTAACACAAGAATTTTTGAGAGACACAATTCAGCTGATGGTAGTATTTTATCCCTTTCCATTTTCTTCAGAGAACTCACTGCCTCCTACCATCAGTCATTCCTCCTTTGCCCATGAGCCCCATGAGAGCAGGGGCCCAATTTTACTTGCTGGTGCATCCTCAATACCTGCAGCAGTGCTGGTATATGGTAGGCACTCAATGACCACTCCTCTAACAAGTAAGTAGTTGGATGAGTGAATGAATGAATGAATGTATAGTTGATTTGACCTTGTCAAATTAATAAGTAAAAGTTGTATCACATGCCCATCAATAGATGAGTGGATTAAGAAAATGTGGTTTAATTACAGAATGAGTTTTACTCAACCATAGAGAATGAAATTATGGAATTTGCTGGCAAAGGAATAGAAATGGAGAACATCATGCAAAGTGAAATAAGCCAGACTCAGAAAGTTAAGGGACAAATGTTTTCTGTGCAAGCTAGAGTATAATAAGGGAAAGCAGGAGGAGAGGATCAGGTGTCATAAGATTTAGAAATCATCACCAACGTAGAAAAAGGAGATTGTGAGGGAGGGAGGAGAGATGAGAAATGTGGAATAAATTCAACAAAATCACATTATGTGCATATACAAATATACCACAAGGAATTTCATCTTTATGAATAAGTAGAAAGAACCAATCAAAAATAAATAAATGAGCAAAAGAAAGAGTAGAGAAAAGAAGATAGGGGCAGGGAGAAGTAGTGGGGAAAGTGGGGGAATAGGGACTGAAATTAAATTTCACACATGTATGATTTTGTCAAAACAAACCCAATTATTATGTATAACTATAATGCTCTAGTAAAAATTGTTTAAAATTTTAAAAAATTGACATCACATATTTTAGTATGTATCTTTAGTACTAAATTTTTCATTTACCAATTCAACTCTTTCACCGAATATGAAAGCCCTATCCAATCTAATTTCATTTTCAAGGCATCAACTAATCTTGCTGCATCATTGTCTGAATTTCTTTTCTTCAAATAAATCATACTTGTTACTTACAATTAAGTGTTTTGGTCAGCCTTTCCCAGCTGCACATGATGAATAGCAGGCAGATAATTGCCAGTTCAGGGGCTCATTTGTTTTTCTTACAGTGTGATTCCTGGGAGGTGCTCTCCTATCCTATCCCCTCAGAGGACTAATAAATTAAATCAATGTGTTTTTGTACAGGAAGTTTTACTGCTGTGAATGTTTAGGGAAAAAAATAAGAAATTAAAAAAAAATCCCACAAAACTCTAGAAGGCACTGGAGAAATGTTGTCTGTGTTCAGTGACAATGAAGTCGTATTTCAGTTACAGAGAACAAGCTGTGGTCACTTATAAAAGGCAGATTGAGTAGGCAGTTGGGCTTTCAGAAATACCAATTCAAAAAAGGGTAAAAGTGCATTTGAGAACACACTCTGTAATCCATTCAGCTTATTGAACGCCTGGGATGCCACAGTCCTTTCCAAGGGCCCATCATCCTTTACACACATTGCTACAGGAAGACCACTCTGTTACTTCAAAGGTGACCCCACCCTCTGGCCACATCACTTCAGCTTAGACAGTGTCAGAAAGTCCAGTTGGCATTATGACCAGGCCCAAACCATGAAAAATAAAATGAGAGGAACAAGGGCTTATCTTTGAAAAAGTACACAAGTTTTGGAAAAACCCAAATTAGTTATCACAAAGAAGAATATACCTCATCAAAATTTCTTATACTCATGTTGGGGCTTGGTATTTATACTCATTTTCAAATGGTATATTAGTAGTTTGTTTGGGAATTGTAAACTGGTATTTAGAAACTGTAGAGAACTTAATTCAGCCTGGACCAAAGCAGGAGCTTCCAAATTAATTGAGTAAATAATATACCCATCCCCTATTTGTGGTCGATGGAGCAAAGAGAGATGACGGCACAAATTTTTCCCCACACTTTTTAGTTACAACTAATATATGGTAAATCCCAACACTCTTTTGTAACTGAAACTAGAATATATAAAACAAAAATCACACACTGCATATGGAGGAGTCAATACAGCCAGCAGATGTTTTTTGATTAATCTTCCAGGTGTTTAGAAACCTTTTTGAATTAGTTAACAACAGCTGATTATTTGAAATATTCATGTAAAAATTTTTCTTGTAAGATTTTTGAAACTGAATCTGGTAACTTGCTACATATTTCTTCATAGTAGTAATTGGCTGGAGTTCTGAGGTAGCCTGGTTGAGGTATGCATCTGCTAGCTCATAAGGTAGCAAACATTTTCTGTAAAGGATCACATAGTAAATATTTGCAACTTTGTAGGCCACATGGTATCTTTTACAGCTACTTGACTCTGCCATTTTGCATGAGAGCAACCATACACCTACACAAATGTGTGTGTGTGTGTGTGTGTTGCTTTTTTAAACAAAAACTGATCAACCAGTTCAATTTGGCCCTTGGGCCACAGTTATTTTGAACTCTGCTGTAATTTCTCATGACCAGGTCCACTCATTTGCCTACATCAGCCCATCCCTCTCATTTTTATTACCTCTGTGGTACCTGTGGACATTTGTATTGACAGCTCCTGATATTTAGAGGCTGTCAGTGCTCATGTCCTTCACATCATGGTGAAAGCACAGAGAATATCAGAGATGAGAGGTCATATGGTAAGCCAAACACCTGCTCAAGATTTTACCATGTCCTAATCCCTGGAATCTATAAATGGCATGGCAAAAGAGATATTTTGGGTAAAATTGGAGTTATAGACCTTAAAATTAGGAGTTTATCTTACATTATCCAGGTGAGCCCTTAAAAGCAGAGAACTTTCTCCAGCTGGAAGCAGAACAAAAGAGAAAAAGAGGAATTCAAAGAGACTCCTAATATGAGAAGCATTTGGGCAGTGTTGTCTTTCTGATGCAGAACAAAGGAAGGGTTTTTAGAGTAAAGTGCCACCTCCAATTGACAGCTGACAAGGAAACAGGAATCTCAGTCCTACAACAAGAAGGAACTGAATTCTCCCTACATATTTGAATGAACTTGGAAGTATGTTATTTCCAAGTCTTTAGATGACAATAGCTTGATTTCAGTCTCACAAAATCTAAAGGAAAGAAACCAACTAAATCAACCTAGACTTCTTTATTTTGTGTTTTTTATAATGCTAACTTTGTGATCATTTATTATGGTAGCCATAGAAGACTAATACATGTGGAGTCTGTTAGTGTTCATTTCCCACTCTCCAGTTCCTGGTCAGGCACTGTATATAGGAAAGAATGTAATCTTTCCAAAGAAGAGGTTTGCCCTTGATCCCAAGTGATCATTTCTAAGCCCTTGGAATGATCTATCTGAAAAGAACATCTGTGCACCTAGGAGCTCTGGGCAATGCCAGAAAGTCTAACAATGTCATTTATGGAGGAGATTTGAATTACACAGTATCAGCTCGACCCACAAAAGGACTGGAGACTGAGCCCAGTTACATGACCAGTTAATCATTGACTCCAAATAAAGATCCTGGATACCAAATTCAACTGAGTTTCCCAAGTTGGCAAAAATTCTACTGCATTTATCCATTGGGAGAGGACAAGTGTACACTCTGTGCTTAGTACTTTCCTGACTTTGTCCCATGGCTGATTTTAATCTGCATCCTTTTGTTTTAGTAAACTGTGACCTTAGTATGATGGCTTCTCCAAGTCCTACCAAGTTTTCAAAACTAAGCTTAGCCTTGTGGAACTCCAAAACTTGTAATTGGTTTCAGAAGTGAGAGTAACAGCATAGCCACTATTCCTGTCACTTCACAACCCACTATATTTCCACTTTTCCAAACCCTGATTGTTCAAGTCTTTCTTTAGATGCCTTCACAGAATAAATACCTCTTTTTAACTAGTTTCTACCACTTGTATCCAATACACTGATGTACCAAAATAGCTGTTTATCAGTATCTCAGAAACCTAAAAATAACAGAATTTCATTTTTAGAAAAGACTTGAAGGATTTTTCAGTTATAAGCCCTACAATTTCCAGATAAGGAACAAACAGGCTTAAGAAAACTGCAAATTACTATACAAGTGATAGAGGTACAAATTTTCTTGTGTTGTGATTCTAAGGCTAGCATCCCTCAACTAACAGCATATTACCTCCAATTCAAATACAAACCTAGAATTAGTAGTTAGAACCATACGCTCATTTGTTCCAGAATCTTTATCGGTAAATCCTTACCAGAGTTTGAGTTAGATTCACCACCAGGAGCACTGGAAGACATCTTGAAGGGTGACTGTTTTATCATTGTTGTTTGATCCTGAGAGTCCTTGTCATTGTGGGACAGATGAGACTCAGCATAGCCAAGTCTCACAACTGGTTTGTTCGAAACCCCCATTTTGTGGCATGTCATTTGGTTTCTGATCCTCTCTGTAGTAACAAGGGAAAACATTAAACATGTCACCATTGTTCCAATTGTCTTTTGATACAATGTGAAGAGGGGATAGAGGGTATGCCTCAGTGGTACAGCAGTTACGTATATGCATAAGACCCTGGGTTTGATCCCCAGCACCACAAAGAAAGAAAAGAAAAAAGAAAAAAAAAAATATATATATATATATATATCCTTAAAAACATAGTGTATTCCTAGACAGTGACCAAAGGAAAGAACATGAGTAGTCCCCTCTAGTTGCAGGCCTTATGGAAGTGTGTGATATGTAGAGAATTTTAAAGCAATACTAAAATCTTCAAAACATCTGGCTGCATTTTACTACTACCATGTGCAGGCAATTTCTTGTGCACCTGCCTTGGAACACCACTGTTCCTTGTTTGTTGTCCAAATTAACTCTTCGTTTCAACACTGTTTCAGATCTATTGGAATCTAGTTAGAATTCCAACATGTGGTATGAAAACTTGTTCTACATCTTTCTTGTGGTCTCTCAAATCTTCAGTAAAGTTCTTTACATTTGCTTTTGGTGCAGAAAGGTATGACTCTTCCTACTTTGTTTTGTTCTTCTGTTTCTTTCTCTTTTATCCCACTACAATCATCCTAGTTCTAACCCTCTTTAAATTGTGACTATTTTGATTCTTTTTTATAAATTTACATTGTAAGCTTATATCTGCCATCTTTTATGTGACTTACGTAGCAATAAATTTCACTTTATTGTTTGTTTACTTTTCCCAAAGGGGAAAAAAAAGGAAATGTTTTATGAAAAAGAACACCAAATAGAGATTATCATGGACCACAGCATCCTTGACAGTTCATAGTAGTTAGATACCATTGGAACTGGCTGCATTCGTTTCTCCCACTTCCATTGAACAGAGATGTGATTTGGTGGCTTTCTTCCTTGTTCTTCTCAATTTACTCATCCTGCTGGCTTCAGTCTCATTACTTTCATCCTTTGTTGGGTCCTGTAATTATTACAAAACAAAAATCCAAATAATAATGTCATGCAAATTATTAAATTAAGATATCAAAAACATGACAATTAGAGAGCTGGGTTTTAAAATGTGTGTAGGAGATTTTTTATAAGAAAGGGGGAAAAATTGTCCCTTCCTCATCAGTTGGAATAACTCAAACAGGTTGGATTTTTCTGTATCACCTTTTATTTATGAGGTAGAAAATTTCATTAAATAAATTAAAATCTTGTCTAACCAGGTTGCTTGGTTTTGGTTGTTGTTGATTTTTGTTGTTGTTGTTGTTTGTTTGTTTGTTTTGTTTTGTTTTGTTTTACTTTGAGATAGTTTATATTATGTGTTAATAAATAATTTCATAAAACCCTGTCATTTAAATAGTTTTCTTTTATAATTTCTGTGTTTTTTAGAATCTGCAATCTGTTGGAGTGAAGGTATAAGCAGAATTGGATTCTCTTCTCTCTTTTTACTTATCTTTCCTCATCCATCTTTCATCAGTATTTACTTTGCTCCGAAAAGTACTTTCATTTATAAAGTGCTGTTTTGTGACTGTGTAAAGCAAATGTCTGACTCAAACTATTTTATAATTTGAGAAAAAATAAGAAATTTATTTAAAATAAAATACCCTAACTTTAGCAATCAAATCATAATCATTAACGAGATGTTTCCAGCAGAGAATTGGTCAGTGAGGCAGAGGCTGGTTCTGAGGAGCTCAGGTGTTTCAGTACCAATAGTGGGGAGAAAAAAAAAATCATCCCTATGGTTCTGGAACACAACAGCTGACACTGAAAATAAAAATTGTTTTGTAAAGCTGATATTGATGTTTTTAAAGTTGCAAACCTCTCATTGTCATTCAAGGGGAGAGGAGTGTGATAGGGTCAGGATTGAAAACTGTACTCCAGGTGTTTTGAGCTATTGTCTTTTTAAAGATCAGGTTCTGAGAGTTTCTATATCTGGGGATAAATTTTACAAATATATAACCAGCATAGATGCTGGGGAAGAGCTGTACCAATTTATAAATAAAACCAATTCAGCCTCTAAAGGATAAATGAGGGGGAAAAAAAGGACACTTTTTCTGTGGTTATATGTAATTCTAATCATTGTTATTATTTTTATTATACTAACAAATACATATTTCATAGAACAAAAACTTTTGTAATTTTATAACTTTACATATTAGAAAATTGTAGATGAACTCCAGATAATTTTATATTTGAATTATATGGTGCTAATCATGTAATAAAGTAATTTTTATAGTATTTGAAGATTTTGTGCATACATTTGCAAATTTTGTCCCAATACATTTTTGATGGGATCTGACAGTGATAAATAATCTTATTAAACATATTCCTTATTTCTAAAATTGCATTGCTAGAAATCCACATTAATTTTATTCCTATTTTGCAAATACATGTCTATGATTTAAAAAAAAAAAAAAAAGCTTAGCTCCTGGCTTGTCATTCTTGTTTAAAAAATGAAAGTTTTAGCCAGATACATAAATATCAAAGGAATCTGGGCCAAATAACAATTGTCTTGATTTCTCCTGTTAGGGAGTCCCCTTTTAAGTTCAAGGAATCAGATAAGATAAACCAAGATCCCTCCATGAATAAACAATAGAATAACAATATGCTAAAATGAAGCACATTGCCAGGCACATTTCCTCAGCATAACCCTAGAGGTAAGAATATCTTACAAATAAGAAAAATAAGATCAAGAGTAACTTGCCCAAGGCCCCAATAGTGAATGGAAGATACAGTTTCCATAATGGTTTTCTGATTTTCAAAATGTCTTTCTGTTTTCTAAAAGCCAGAGGACCAAACCCAGAGAACATTCACTTAGAAACATTTTTCTGTTCTCATATAAAAGAAAAAAAAAAAGAAAAATTTCTTAAGACAGAAACAAAGGCAATTTACCTGGGTATTAACCTGAAATTTTCACCAATAAAAACCCCCAAAAAATGAAGTTGCAGTCTATGCCTCTTATTCTATACAAACGCTTTTTAAAAGGGTTTTTTTTTCCAAATGAAGAATGTACATCATTTAATCTTTTGATTTTCTTTTCATATGCCAGGATGATCATTAAACAAGGACCATAATGGGAACAGAAGATGGAAAACCCCACCCAAGGCTTAGCTCCTGGCTTGTCATTCCTTAAAACTGGTGTGCATTTCTTTCTTTCTTTTCTTTTCTCCTTCTCAGCCACATTTTTTAGCAATCTTACTGCAAGTTAGATGCACCATAAAAACCAGAATATTGGTACCACAATGTCTCCAATAGTGAATAACTATGATCTGTACCTTCCACAAGGAAGATATTTCTTGAAAAGAAATACCACACTCACAACCAAAAGGGAATTACCAGACCCTGTCCCATCCCAACAACTCAATAAAAAACTGGCCCATTTCTTCATTTGGGGAGCAGCCTGACTCTCTGTCAGTACTGCCTCCCTTTCCTTGAGATAAAACCCTCCCAATAAAGTTTGGCCCCTGTGCTCATACGCCTTTATTTTCTATTGACACAGGGTCAGAAGTTCCGGTCTCTGGCATCAATCAGAGCATGGATATTGCTATAATATCTGAAACAAATTTACTGGATTTCTGGTGTATCCTACCTCCAGCAGACTATTCTAAATTTCTAGACTTTCAATTGCTCTTAAATACAATATAAATGATGTTTTAGTGGGGAAAAGAACTAACCTACTAACCAAAATACATAAGGTTTGGACTCTTAATTCTCTTTTCTACTAAGTAGCAAGTTTTTCTGGAGTCCTGTTCTCTCTTCTGTAAATACTAAAATATAACTATGAACCTCAAATATATTAACATTTTAAAAGCATTTTTATAGCCAAACAACATTTTATATTTCATTTAATACTTACTATATCACTGGGGGAATATTTATTCTTACCTACATTTTTGCCAAAACAACAACAAAAAAAGCCCATAATGATTAGGTAATTTGTTCAAGATCAAATGACTAGCAAAGAAGAATAATAATTCAAATCTAAGGCATTTATTTGCAGTTCTTCATGTGTCAATATAACCTGACAGTTGACATAAATAGAATTCCATCTCTAATATATAAGGTTGTCTACATAACTCATAAGACTTGACTTCCTCAATTATACATTCTCTTTCAATTATTTTTTTCATAATTCTTTCCTGTATAAGGGCAAAAATCATCTTAACTCATGTCTCAAGAATCTTGACTTCCTCCGTCCAAAGAATGAGGATGTAACCTACTATGTATAAGCCAAAGTCAAAGACATAAAAATAAATAAAACATGATTCATAAAGAATCATATAATCTAGTATGAGCAATAAAGTATTTTTATGGAAGTAAAGGCATTCATGATATAAAGAAAGAGAGATGCTTAGGTTACCCTAATTCAAGGATAGCAAACTCAATAAGAAGCAGATAACAAAGATGCAGTGAGCCAGCTGATGAACAGAAGAGTCAATACTTGCTTCCAGGAAGGAATCAGCTCTTAGCTCTATCCAGTCACTATCATGTCAAAACATGGCCCCAGAACTGCTAGTTCTAAAAATTTACAAGTAATTCCAGAAACTTGGATTTTCACTTAAAATTTTCATGATGTTTAAATATTTCCAAATAATTCGAAATTAAAGATGGGGATTGAAAAAGACAAGAAAATTTTCTCGGCTATCCACAACCAGGTATCACACAACCAGAATGCAGTCAGAATGTGCAGCTACTTTAGAGGATCCCAGGGCACATCAGGTTACCCTGTCTTCCACAAGGTAGAATGTGTGTCAACAGTGACCACCTATATTTTCCCCTCAGTGCTATATAGGGTGACACTGAAAAGTGAATGATGGTCAAAATAATTTGCTATTAATACAGCTCATAAAAATAAAAAATTCTTCTTATGCCTACTATGTGTCAGTTGTCTTCTAAATGTACTACATTATTATGAAATCATTTGATCTCAAACCAAACTCTAGGGAGAAAAAATACATTACCATCCCTGTTTTAGAGATGAGGACACCTGAGTCAACAGAAGACCAAAATATTGCATCTTATAAGAAGTGGAATTAGGATTTGAACCCAGCCAGTTGGTTCCAGTATACCGAGCACTGAACTTATCCTTAATGAACACTACATTGAGAATGCTCCCTCACCGTGCTGTGGTGCAGGGATGCTGAAAAGCTGGGGCAAGGTCCTAGAGGTTGGTGAGGAGCATTTACCAGCTTAGAGAGTTCCCACTAGCCAGGCTCTAATCTCCTACATATGCATCTGTAGATTCTGAACACAATAAGCTACAGTCCTTCTCACAGAGATGAAAACAGGTAAAGAAGTTCTGAAGAGTCTAAGGGATTGCTATATGACCAACATACTCTTGTATGCAGTACTCAACATTTATGCTATTATTAAATAGGTGTAATATTTTATAGGTTAAGTCTTGGTATACCTGGGGGAATTAGGCTAAACTTAAATAGAAGAGATGACATTCGAGCTGAAGACAGAGAAGATGTGAGACTAACCAGGTTGGAAGAACCATGAGCATAATAAGCACAGGTATGTAATTTTATGTTGATACATAATATAAATATGCAAATATAATTCAATCTAAGTTAGACAATCCCAAACCTCTACTACAATAGTTTGATTTGATCTCAATATTTCCACCAGAGCAGCTTTTCCCATCCCATCATTCCATCAGATGGCTGCTTTGCCTCATACACTTGAATGGCCATAAAGAGTGTTTTGAATACAAGATATTTTCATAATTTGTACTTTTATCATCATAGTGCTTCTTCTGAAGGTTGTTGACGAGGCTTAATATAACTTAGTCATTTTGCATTTCAACTCAATGGCTCGATCAAATTAACCAAAAGAGGCTAAACCTAAAGGAGTTCTGTCAAGCATTAAATTTAGACCCTAATTTGACCTAATAAATTTCCTTCCAATATAATAACCAGTGTTATTTACATTCTAAATATCACTGATTTCATTCATTTTCTTTTACCTTTCAAT